TTGTTTTCACATCTGAAATTATTATACCTATTTCAAAGAAGAAATTGAGACTTGGAGATATTCAATGACTTATCAATGTCACCTAACTAAGAAACGGTAGAAGCAGGACTAGAATCCAACTTTTGGCAATGGCCTTGTGCAAGTCCCTTCTTACCTCACTTTACTAACAAGAAAGTAATAATGACCAAGTACCCATGAGAAAAAGTTTTTCCCCCAATGGTAAGAGCAGAATTTAATGGTTTGTTTTGATCATGAGTTGGCAGTAAGAGCTGCCAAGTATCTCCAAGGGAGCACCATCTCCCAAGGGGGGCAAGGCTTCCAGGTCTGCATAATGTCCCTGTCTTCCATCACTTCACCTACTGACATTGAGACATGCCACTGTAGTACTCAGTGCTAGGGAATGATCTGGTGGATCAAATTCCTTGATTCATTCACTCACTCATACTTTCTTTTGTGTTTCCTGAGGCTGAACTGAATGGAGGTTAGGAGTACGCATCAGTAACTCTATTTCCATTCATGCCACAGCAATGGCCAGTAGTGACCTCTCTGTCAGTAGGAGCCTTTGAACTCTTGGCCCCACTGACCAGTGAAGAGTTTCACCAATCCAATTCTATGTTTCCTAGACTTGGGACTTTAAGGTCAAACTTAGCCACATGGGTAAGTCACTTCACTTTGATTTCCTTATCAATGAACTGTGAGTAATTATACCTGTGGTACCTATTTCATAGGGCTGTCTTAGGTCTCAAATGAGATCATGTATGCAAGTTTTGTTCAAACATCCATGGCCTCTATAAACACCTACCATTATCCACTATTTGCAGTTTTTCAAGTTCGTCATTCTTCAGTAACTGAAGGAGCCATTTGTGGGATGGGTGATTTTGTAGTCCAAAGAAAGACCTAATTTAATAACATTGATCAATTATTTTATTCATTAATGTTAATTAATTAATATTCATAATGTTAAGGGTATACTGTGTGCAAGACACTGGAATAAAAATTTTTGGGAGTGAATTGATAAGAAAATTTAGGTGGGAAAGAGTCCTTGCCCTAAATGATAATAGTTCATATTTATGTAACATTTGGAAAGAACTTCAATTTTCTCATTTGAATCTCCCAACAGCTGTTTGAAATAAATACCACCATTATGTCCTTCACACTTTTATAGATAAGTAACTTGAAGCTGATTGACTTAAGTGATTTGTTCTGACCTATACAAGTAATAAGTGTCTGAGGTGGGAATTAAATCTATATCCTCTTGACTCAAAGATTAAAGCTCTTTCTACTACAGCACATTGCCACACTAGTACTTTGTAGTGTAGTTACACCTCTCTCCTCTTTTCTCTGTTGTGTTTCTTGGAGCATCTACTCATCCATTATCTTGTAAAAGCCCACTATCTTGTACTGATCATGGTAAGTCTCATGTCTATTGCATTTAATTCTTGACCCTTTCCTTACAATCATTGTTTGAACTCTATACCCTAAGTAATATTATTCCCATTTTCCAAATGAGGAGACAGAGGTGCAAAAGAATTGATTAACTTCCATGAAATCACAGAAGAAATTAGTGAATGCCCAACAATACTAGAACCAAAATCTTCAGACTCCTAATCAAGTATCTTTCCAAGACAGTGCTGTTCACCCATACCTGGGCATTTCAGAGTAGAAAAGAAATCACTTTGTGAGCCCTGGAGACCAAGAAGGGTTCTCTCTAGACTTGGGAACTCAAGAGGACCCAACAGTGAATACATCTGTGGAAAGGTTGTCATAGATTATGTCTATACATTTTTGATTCAATAATATCAATGACAAAAACGGCACAGGTGCCATGTATGAGACACACAATTCTGTAAATTTTGACTCTAAGTTGGTTGTTTGTTTTCCACTTAATATACCTTCTATTATGTGAAAGGAAAATCCTTCATTGTTGCTCATTGTAAAAGTTGATTTTGTTACAGTCCTCTAAAAGTCTATAAGATGAGGTTTTATTTATTTACTTTATACTTACGTACCAGTTTCATTAACTACAGCAGAAAAAGTCCTTTCACAGTGGTGCTATGATGACTAACGGGTATCTTTTAAATTAATATAGGTTAAAATTGTCAGAATCATCAATGTAGAGATGGAAAGGATCTCAGTGATCGTCTAGTCCAATATATTTCCTTTATCAACAAGGAAACTGAGGTCTGTGATATTCTAGAAGTAAAAGACGTTAAGGGATTTGTGAAAGATAAAACAGACAATAACAGTAGCGTTAATTAAAATAATGGTAGAGAACCCTTTTATCTAGTTTTAAGGTTTTAAAAAACACTTTATAGAATTATCTTCTATTCTCAGAAAAGCTCTGTGGAGTAGGTACCATTGTTTTATCTTTTTTTGACTTATGAGTGAATTTAGGTTCTGAGCTGACGTGGTTTCTCCATGATCATAGCAACCTAGAAGACACATTTTTATATACAATGAGAAACAAACTTTCTCTATCTCTGCACACCTCTGATACACACACACACACACACACACACACATATAGATATATGGAGAAATAGAGATATATGTCTCTGTGTGTCTATGTCTGTGTATCTGTGTCTCTGTGTGTCTGAGTTGAACAAGGGATCAACTATCCATTCCCTCAAGACTTTAAGTGAGAGGAAATCCAGTACATGTTAAGACAGCCCCTTCCACTTCTGGATAGCAAAATTTTTGGAATATTTTCCTTACATCAAACCTAAGTTTGTTTCTTCTTACCTTCTAACCATTTCTCCGGTTTATTCTCTTTGGGTACAAATAAAATGAACCAAATTCTTCCTCCATATCTTAATCTGGCAGATAACTGAAGATACCTAATCTCAACCCCTGATCTGACACCCATCTTTTATCTTTTCTACACTGAACACCATCAGTTACTTTCACCAATTTCAATATGGGAAGATTTCAAAGTCCTTCTCCATGCTGCCTGAACTCCTCTGGAGAATCTCTAGCCTATCAATGTCCTAGCTAAAGTGTGCAATCCATGACTTAACATGTTGTTCCAAATGTAGACTAGAGAGGACCACCTGGGTATGCCTGGATACTATGTCCCTTTATGCAGTGTAAGGTCAAATTGTTTTTCTTGTAAGCCACGTATGTCACAAGGTAATTATGGGGATGAAATGATCCAATCTATTTAAAGTACTTTGCAAACTATAGAGAGGCAACTCTGTTAAAATGGATAATGCACTGGGACTGGAGTCAGAAAGTCTTGATATCCAATCCAGTCATAGACACTTAGTGTATGACCCTGGGCAAATCATTCAACCCCTATTTACCTCTCTTTCCTCAACTTTAAAATGGGGGTAATAGCAGAATCTACTTCACAGGGCTGTTGTGAGAATCAAATAAGAATATTTATGAAGCATAGCACAGTGCTTGGCAAAAAATAGATCCTACATAAATACTTTTTTCCATTCTCTCCACTAACATGTGTGCTAGTTCTTATTAACTTTGGTATCAACTCTTAGTTTTTCTGTTCTTCTCAACACAAAGATCATTCTCTTGCTCATAGGAAATAGAAACAAAATACAAATTGAACAGCTCTGCCTTTGCTTGGCATTCATTGTACTTGTTTCATCAGTCTTGAGAATCAGTCCAATTCCTTATTTGATTATCCTTTGTTTCCCTAAATAGTCAATTTTGTATTAAAGAAATAAAATTAAATTAAATCAAATAAATTAAATAAAAATAAATAAAATTAAATTTTGCACTTATTCACACCTTTGACAGTCTTTAGCTTTTTGGGCTTCCCTCAGTTCAAACTACATGCTGACACTCCTTCAACTCTATTCCTATAAGATAGGATCTGCTTTTGAATTTATCGTTAGTTATCTCTCCTTTTTTTTCTTTTCTGCAAACTTATATTTCATATCTAAGTATACATGAGTGTTAATTTTTCTTCCTGTTTTTTCAAAATTTTATTCTTGAGATTTTTCTTTCCTTTCAAGTTTAAATTCCCTACAGAAAGATCATTTATCTTTTCTGTAAATTGCCTGGAATTGACTCTTCCTAAGTCTAATATGCATGTCTGACAATTGCTAGTTTTCCTTCCTTTATCTATCTCAAACTTTAGGATGGTATAATTACTTTTCCTCTACTTTTGTAACATTCCCATGTATTTTGATTTTTCCTAATAATTCCTCATAATTTATGAGAATTAAATGCAGGATAGAGATTTCTCATATTTTTTCCTTCATTTCATACCTTTTATGTATTAAAATATTGTTTTTATCAAGAAATCAATAGCTGTTCTTTGAGGAGAGAGACAGAGATACACAGATAGGTAGTTGGATATGCAGATATAAAGAGACACACGGGGGAAGCAGGCAGACAAATAAAAGAGAAAAAAGAGTCAGGAAGAGACAGAGAGAGACAACTATGCAGAGATGCAGAGATAGAGAGATAGAGACAGAGAGACGTATTGAAAGACAGAGATGTGGAATAAGAGAGAACATTCTGACAGATGTCCAGATAATTGAAGACTTCCATCAGTAACATACAAATAACCATATAAATGCTTTTCACCATGTTTATTTTCACTATGGTTCCTGGATTTCTTTAATGAGTATATTTTCTCAGTTTAAAAATATTATAATAACCTCTTGTAACTTATCCTATTTCATTCAAATAAGAGAAAAAAAATTTCCAGAACCATATTCAAGTTATCAGCCCCATCCCTCAAGTCTAAATTGTACCTTGGCATCAAGATTTGTTTTCATGTATTAGAGATTGTAACTCATCTTGCCTGCGAGGCATAATTCCTTCCTGTGGGAGAGATTTTAGCTCAAACTTGAAACCGACTAACTGAAAAACTGTTGATTTCTGTGGGACCCAAAAAATCATATAGTGAATGAAAAAACAAATAACCCTGTTTGTGGCCACCTTCTGTTTCTACAGTGGTAGTGGTGGAGAATTGGAAAAAGGACAGGCTGTGGGAAGAAAACAAATTTAGAAGACATACATTTATTGTTAAGTAAGCCACCAGTGGTCTTTTGGAGAGATGATTCTCACAACTGTACAACTGGTGTGCATTGGCAACTGTTCCTACTCAGGAACTGGTGACTTCAGTCTATCACATAAACCTTAAAGTTGCAATGATTACAGGAGTAAGCAAGATCCCAATGAACACTTAGTCAAGTTTTTTGAACCTATTCTCCCTTCTCACTGTTTTTTAACTTTCCTCTTATTTAATTCTACCTTCTTTGTTTTTCTTGTTTCTTCTCTTTGTTATCAGAGTGAAACATATTCATAAGCAAAGATATAGTTCCCCAAACTTGGCCAATAGTAATACCTCCTCTTATGCTGACTTTTGCCAGAGAATAAGGCATTTCCCTTTCCTGATGTGCAAAATGTCACTTTGGTGATGATTAAATTTGTAGTAGATTACACAAAGTGAGCAGTAATACATGAGTGACTCTCTCTTTCTATGAGAAAATGGATGAGTGGTTTTTGAGGACCTAGAATAACTTCTTTGACAACTACCTAGATGTTCTTTTCCCCTTAATTGCTATTTCTAACTCCCACAGAAGATGTTTCTCTAACCATGTTTTATGTCTTAGAGTCATTCATCATGCAGAGGGGATTTTTCTGATGGTTTTTCTATTGTTGCAGGTTAATGGCATCACTTTCAAATGACATCCATGGAGAACAGATCTGAAGTGAATGAGTTCATCCTTACAGGATTAACAGATGTTCCAGAGCTTCAGGTCCCTCTCTTCATAATGTTCACCCTCATCTACCTCATCACCCTGGTAGGGAACCTGGGGATAGTAGCTCTAATCTCCAGTGAATCCTGCCTCCACACACCCATGTACTTTTTCCTCAGTAACCTCTCTCTGGTGGATTTTGGCTACTCCTCAGCTATTACTCCTAAGGTGATGTCTGGACTTCTCACAGAGAACAAGGTTATATCCTATAGTGGATGTGCTACACAGTTTTTCTTCTTTGGGTTTTTTGTTACTACTGAAAGTTTCCTCTTAGCCTCCATGGCCTATGATCGCCATGCTGCTATTTGTAAACCTCTATATTATACTACCACAATGACATCTACAGTATGTGCACATCTGGCCAGTGGTGCTTACATCTGTGGCTTTCTGGCCTCCTCCATAGTCATAGGAAGCATGTTTAGCCTTTCCTTCTGTAGGTCCAACATAGTCCATCACTTTTTCTGTGATGTTCCCCCTCTCCTAGTTCTCTCTTGCTCTGACACTCACATCACTGAGTTAATACTCTTTATCTTAGGGTCAGTAAATACCCTTTTCCCATTTCTTGTCATCTTTACCTCTTACTTGTTAATCTTCGTCACCATCCTGAAGATCCATTCTACTGAAGGCCGCCAGAAGGCATTCTCTACCTGTGCTTCCCATCTCACAGCAGTGTCCATATTCTATGGGACAATCTTCTTCATGTACTTGCAACCCAGTTCAAGCCATTCCATGGACACAGACAAAATAGTGTCAGTGTTCTACACTATGGTCATTCCCATGTTGAACCCTGTGGTCTATAGTCTTAGGAACAAAGATGTCCAGAATGCTTTTAGGAAAGTTGTGAGGGGACGACGACTTCAATTTGATATATTTTTCCTTACAGAGAAAATCTAATCCTCCCCTTCCCAACTCTAGGAACTAGCCCCGAAATCAGGTTATTTTTCTTATGCACAGAGAAGTATATAATCCAAACTTTTTCAAAGTTAACAAATGTAGTAGAAAGTGTCATAGCTTTGGAGGTAGGAGAGACTTGAATTTATATTGTCTTATACACTTTTATGCTGTATAGACCTACCAAGTCCCAATATCAGTTTCCTCCTATTTAAAGGATCTTAATAGTATCTTGTCTCTTAAAAGATTATTGTGTGGAATTAATAATATGTGCATATCATCTTTTTTTTGTTGTTGTTCAGTCATGTCTGACTCTTTGTGATCCCATTTTGAAGTTTTCTTGGCCCAGATACTGGAGTGGTTTCCCATTTCCTTCTCCAACTCATTTCACAAATAAGACAGCTGAGGCAAACAGGGTTAAGCGACTTTCCCAGCATCAAATAGCCAGTAAGTGTCTGAGGCTCTATTTGTATTCTTGAAGGTGACTCCTCTTGATTCCAAGCCCAGTGGTCCATCCATGGTGCCACTTAGATGTGTGTAGTCACACACATACATTTAAGTTCAAGACAGCAATTGTAGTGATTTTCCTGGAAGGAAGATGATCAGTTACACAATTTTAAACAGTGTATTACTTCAGGATCAAAGCCACTGAATTGCTTGGAAGATTTGTCTTTAATGTTATTGGCATTGCTTATACAGCAGCCTCTAAAGCAGAGATGAGCTGGCAAATGCTTAAGAAGCAGTTCTCCTGAAAAAAAAAATAATATATATGTGACCTTTATTTTAAACCTTTTTTTTTCTTTTTAAGCAACTGGGTTTAAGTGACATGACCAGGGTCACATAGCTAGTAAGTGTCAAGTGTTTAGTCTGAGGCTGGATTTGAACTCAGGTCCTCCTGACTTCAGGGCTGGTGCTCTATCCACTGCGCCACTTAGCTGCCCCTTAAACCTATTTTTAAGCTATTATTTTCTCCATCATTTTCCAAAATCTAGATTATAAACAGAACAATAAATAAAGTCTTGATTTCTAGCTTTTCTTTCTCTCTACTGTCCAGGTGCTCATACTTAACATGCAATTATCTCTTTGTGATCCATTTGGAGCTGGCTCCAGAACACCACTACATTATGATTACCTTTAGGAAGGAACATAAACTATAGGATGGTCCTAAAGGCCTGGAAAGATCTTTGATCCTTTGTGAGACACATATTTCATTGTAATTTCAATGTAATATCCTGATGCCATCTTCAACATCAAGTCCATTCTAGCTAATAGGTTCTTTTGCTGCCTTATATGTTTCTGTGTTTGAATAGGGGCTCCTGTGAGGTTTTGTTTTGTTTTACTTTTCATATGTTTTGATTTTTCTGTGGGATGAAATAAAGACTGGCTAAAATATAAAAAACCTGAATCATTTTATAAGAGCTAGAGACCCATCTTGACCACACTGGGAAAAACTTAGGAACAAGCTATACTCCAAGAATCTACGTTGATTTTTGAGGAATAACTCTATTCAAGGGTAATAAGATAACAAAAAGGCAGAGAGCAATCATTTTTGTAGGTCGTTATCCAGGATTACAAATGCTCCATGTGAGCACAGAAGTCTCAGTGGGTAGTGAAGGACTTTGAAATGGCTTACAGTTGGACTTCAAGTGGAAAGCAAGCATAGATTTCACAAGGAAGTAACTGAGGTCCAGCTATGTAATATGTCTTTGGTATTTCTCTCCATACTTTGTCACTATCCATTTTCCATTTTGATTTGAATTTGGGGGGTAGGTCTGAAATCAATTGATACTAGGTCACTATAAGGAAGGTTCATCTGTAAAAATACAGTGGTTATTAGTGGGGTACCAGTATAATATCAGTCAGTGGTATACTTGGAAGCAAAAATGCTAATGCCATATATGACCACTTTGAGAAATAATCTGTCCCAAATGAGGGAGGTGATGGTACTGCTATCGTCTACTCTTTTCAGAGTTTTTGTTGTTGGCCAGATGTTCCCAACTCTATGCAAGCCTATGTTCAGTATTTGCAAGGTTTTTTTCTCTTTTTTTGGCAAAGTACCAAAGTAATTCACCATTTTCTTTTCCATTGTGTTCCCATTGTACAGATGAGGCACAAATGCATATAGAGGTTAAATGAATTGCCCACTGCTATGTGATTTGTTAAGGTGTGAGACTGAATTTGAACTCAGATCTTCCTGACTCCAGGACCAATGCTTAATCCACTGTAGCATCTAGCTGCCTCCCTTCAGAGTCCACCTGAGTATTTTCTTCAGTCATGGTGGTCACATTTTTGGAAGGATATTGATACCTGGAGCATATAAAGATGAGTTTACTGGAGATGATTCAAAATAAGGAACAATTAAAGAAATGAGTGTGCTTGTTTTGGTGAATGAATATTTCAGTGTGCCTGGGTGAAGTATTTTGAAGATGTGTCTCATGGGAGAGAGATTAGGAACATTCTGCTGAGCTCTGGAAGGCAAAACAGGAAGTAATGGCTGGAATGTTCAGAGGCACATTTTGAGTTGAAGCAAGGAAAAGCTTTCCTAACAAATGGAACACTTCACAATTGGCAACCTGCCTTGAATAATTCTTCAGTGTAGGTTTTCAGATGGGTTATTCTTTTTTTGGGTGTGATTTAAAGAATATTCTTTTCAGGCATGGATTAGATTTGATGACTTCTGAGAGCTCTCTGACTCTAAGATTCTGTGATTCCCTTGCTCTATCCCTCTCATGAATTTCCACTGGAGGGCCACGTAGGTGGCACAGTGGATAGAGTACCATCCCTGGACTAGGAGGACCTGAATTAAAATCCAGCTGCCTCAGGCACTTCCTAGCTGTGTGACCCTGTAAAAGTCACTTATGATGAGATTTCCCACCTCCAACCCCTCAAAAAACCCAAGTTTTCTCTCTGGACCTTTGGTGCCTAGTCTGGTGTTCACATAATTTCACTACTTCCAGATACCTGTAACCCTATCAGAACATATTAGACAAGTACCTTTTGCTTTGTCCATGTAAATCCTCACATGCCATCATGAACAAGGACTGCAAAGCATGAAAAAATACAGTATTCTAATGATAGCTAACCTTCTTAGATGTGAGTTATCAGAAAATGTGATAAGACTGACACCTTTGCATTTATCCTGGTAGCTACTAAAAAGGGGCATACATTCCAGATCTTAAATTGTATTATAAAGCAGCAATCTTCAAAATTACTTGATACTGGCTAAGAAATAGAGTGATGGATCAGTGAAATAAGTTAGCTATGCAAGCCACAGTAGTCAATCACTATAGTAATCTCTTATTTGACATTATTTGACCCCAGCTTCTGGGATAAGAACTCACTATTTGACAAAAACTGCTGGGAAAACTGGAAAAGAATATGGCAGAAACAAGGCATAGATCAAAATCTCACACCAAATACCAAAATAAAGTCAAAATGGATTCATGATTTAGATATAAAGGCTGATACTATAAGCAAACTGGGAGAACAAGGAATAGTTTGCCTATCAGATTTATGGAGAAGAGAAGAATTCATGACCAAACAGGACATAAAGAACATTATGAAATGCAAAATGGATAATTTTAATTACATTAAATTGAAAAGCTTTTGCACAAAAAAGCCAATGCAACTACAATTAGAAAGAAGGTAGAAAATTTGGAAAGAATTTTTACAACCAGACTCTCTGATAAGGGCCTCATTTCTCAAATACATAGAGAATTAAGTCAAATTTATAACAATACAAGCCATTCCCTAATTGATAAATGTTCGAAGGATATGAACAGACAGTTCTCAGATGAAGAAATTAAAGCCACATATAGTCATATGAACAAATGCTCTAAATCACTATTGATTAGAGAAATGCAAATCAAAACAACTCTGAGGTACCACATCACACCTGTTGGACTGGCCAACATGACAAAACAGGAAAATGATAAATGTTGGAGAAGATGTGGGAAAATTGGATCATTAATGCATTGTTGGTGGAGTTATGAAATGATCCAACCATTTTGGAACTATGCCCAAAGGGCTATAAAACTGTGCATACCCTATGATCCAGGAATACCATTTCTAGGACTGTATCCCAAAGAGATCATACAAATGGGAAGAGGATCCACATGTACAAAAATATTTGTAGCAGCTCTTTTTGTGGTGGCCAACATTTGGATATTGAGAGGATGCCCATCAATTGGGGAATGGCTGAGCAAGTTGTGGTATATGAATGTAATGGAATACTTTTGTGCTCTAAGAAATGATGAGCAGGAAGACTACAGAAAAACCTGCAAAGACTTGTATGGACTGATGCTGACTTGAGTGAGCAGAACCAGAAGAACTTTGAACACAGTAACAGCCATGTTGTATGATGACTAACGTTGATAGACATAGCTCTTCTCAGCAATGCAAAGATCCAAGACATCTCCAAAGGTCTCATGATGCTATCCACATCCAAAGAAAGAACTATGGAGTTTGAATGCATAGCAAACAAACTATTTGCTATTTTTCTTCTGTTTTGTATTGTTTTCTCTTTCTGGTGGTTCCTCCTATTGGTACTAATTCTTCCTTACAACATCACTAATATGAAAATATGTTTAATAGGAATATATATTTACAGCTTATATCAGATTGCATGCTGTGTTGTGGAGGGAAGTGGGAAAGGAGGGAGAGAAAAATTTAAAACTCAAAAGCTTATGGAAGTGATTGTTGATAAATAAAAATACATTAATACAAAATTTATTCATTAAAATTAAGAAAAAAATAAAAAGTGGCAGAGCAAGAACTGCAACCCTGTATCTTCTCTCTGAAGTCCAATAATCTTTTCCCTACACCATACTACATCTTTCATGTCTAAGGACACATCTATCCTTACAACATTGCTTCAAGATAGACAGAACAGGAATTATTATCTTTATATTACAGGTGAATAGACTAAAACTTGGAAAAGTTCAGTGTCTTTCTTGAGGCCTCACAATGAGGAAAAGCCATGACCAGAAACTAGGCATTGACTACTATGTCAAGTGCTCTTTCTATTCCTCCTAACAATGAGGTAGCTAATCAAAGGAATACAGCCAGGAAAATGGTCTCTTGGAGGACTCCAGTTTGGTCCCCATGCTCAGAGTAGAGTTTAATGGCATGTTTTGTATGTGGCGACTGTGGAGCAGCCAGTTGTCTCCAAGGGAAAAGAGACTCTTAAGAGCTGCTATGCTCCAAGGTTTGCATAAGAATCCTGCTTAATTTAGGACTTTGACTATTGACTTCCAAGTATTTCACTCCTAGGGCTCATTGACATGGGAACAACCTGGAGACAGCAGTCCTTGGAGTCACTCCCTCATTCATCTGCTTTCCATTGCTCATCCTGAGACTGAGCAGGAAGGTCACTAACTCTGCCTCCATCCTTGCAGCAGCAATGACCATGGATAATCTCTCCTGATTCAAGGCCTTTGGCATAGCTAGCAGGACGGACTAGGGAAGAGTTTCTTGAAAAGTACATAATAAGTACTAGTACACACTAAGGTTGGGACTGCACACCCAAGATTCTTATGTGAAGGTGCTTGGCCAACTCTCTCCTTTGCTGTAGATCCACTTCTGTCCACAAGCCAGGTAGGTTCTGGGAAGTGTAATGTAAGCCGAAGGAGTTCACATAGAGAGCAGTAGGGCAGAGTGGGAAAAGGAATGGACCTGGAGTCAGAAAGATCTGGATAAAAACTTTGCCTGGACAAGTTGTGGTATAGAATTGTGATGGAATGCTACCATGCTATAAGACATGATGAGCTCAATGATCTTAGAAAAGCATGAAAAGATTTACACAAAGTAATGAAGAATGAAATGAACAAGACCAGGACAATATTGTATATAGTAATAACAATATTGCATCCAGAGAAAACTGATGAATATAAATATAAAAATTTTACATATAAATACATATATGAGTGTGTCTAATCATGGCCATGTCTGAGGGTGGAGAGAGAAGAAAAAAAGGAAAACAAATTTAGACAATAACTTTGTTGTATATTTAAAAGGAATAGCACATTTTAAATAGTGGATTTGCAGTATCATGAGCAATCATCTTTTTAAAATTATACCTTGTTATGGAAATGCTTGTTTTATTTGATGAATTAAAAATTAAAAGAACAAAAAAGCCCTTGCCTTTGAGATTTCCTCCCATTGATACTCTATGTAGTTTGTATGCACATAGTGATTTGCTTATCTCTCAATTAGTATGTGAGCTTCTACAAGGCAGAGACCTTGGTTTTGCCTTTTTTATATCACCAACAGTTAGCACAATGCCTGTCATACAGTAAGTGATTAATAAATGCTTCTTGACTTTAACTCTGAAATCTACTAACTTTTTCCCCCAAGTAAGTTGCCTCATCTCTGAGTCCCTGCTTCCTCCTCCAGAAAATGTGCATAACAACACCTATGGACTTATCTCAAAGGCTTGTCCTCATGATTAAATGAGTTAATGGTCAATATGGTGTTTGCTTACCTACAACTCCAGGGAAAATGCCAGGAGCAGAACAGGGGTCTATACAAAACATCCATTAATCTCACCAAGACCTTTGATACTGTTGGTCATAATGACTTGTGGAAAAGTTTGTCAACTTTTGCCTGGTTGTATGTCAGTTTCATAGTGGGATGCTTCCATAGGTTCTAGATGATGAATGATGTTCTTTTTTTTCCAAATCTCCAATAGAGTAAAGTGGGGCTTCACTAGCTCTGTGTGCTTGCTCTGATGCTTTTTAGCTTTCAACAATGTTGTTAGACACATTCAATGAAGACTAAAAGGTCATCAGGGTCAGCTACCTCACTGATGATAAATTATTTAACATGAAAATCTACAAAGCCAAGAGTAAAGTGGAGGGAGGTTGCTGCATGATGTATTGTGTACTCAATGCAGCTTCTGATGCTGAGATGCAACAAAGTATGGATTGAATCTCTCCTGCTTATGCTAATTTTGGCCTAACAATTAACACCAAGAAAACATTGGTTTCCACTAGACAGCATCACATCATCCATATGTGGAACCATTGGTTACAGAAAATGGAGAAATACTGATTACTATGCATAAGTTTTCTTACTTTGGCAGTATACTTTCTTGGCATGTACATGTAGATGATGAGGTTGATGCACACTTTGCCAGAGCTATCTTAGTGTTTGGGAGTCTCCAAATGAAAGTTTGAGAGAGAAGAGATATTAGAATGTCTACCAGATTGAAGGCCTTCTAAACTGTTGTGCTGATGTTATGGTATGTACCTCTCAAACTTGGACATTATACTAGCACCATGCTACAGACTGAATTGCTCCCATTTGAATTTTCTTAGGAAGGTTCTGAAGATCACTTGGCAGGATAAGGTGCTGGACTTGGTACTTACTCAAACTAAATTGCTAAGTGTTCAAATTCTATTGCAGAGTGCAACTCCAATGAGCTGTCCAGGTTGTTTGAATGTCAAACATCTTTTTTTCCTAAAAGACTATTTTATGGAGAACTGACACAAGGCAAGTGCTGAATGGAGGTCAGAAGAAGGAATACAAGGACACTTTCAAGGTGGATCGCATAACATGGGAGACACTGGCATTTTAGGCTTGTATCTGCAGCAATTTGAAACTGTCAGGACCATGTGTATAGTAATCTGAGGGCATGTGCAAAAATATTATACAAAACTCTTGAATAGCTGCTGATGAGTGTGAGTTTTTTCTTTCAGTTTTTTCAACTTTTCAAACTGTTTCCAAATTACCACAAAGTTTCTCCATTTGAATGAAATTGATTCTCAATGGATGGTCACACAGAAGTGCATTCTTTTCTTTTCATTCTGTCCAATGTCCCAGAGTAGCTACCTTGTTTCCTTCTGTTATTGGGAAAATGTAGGTATGAAAATTTTGACATTATATTATGAAGATGTTTAGAACTTTTATGTTTTTGAAACCAAATCATCAGACTGCTTGGAAAGCAGTTTCACTAGGCATTCTCATTACAAGCCTTCGAAATCATCATGGACCATGACAAATGTTCTTTGAAAACAAGCCTTAAAGAGGTGGAGGCAAGATGGTGGAGAAAAGCCACAGACTCAGCTGAGTCTCCCATAAACCCTTCCAAACAAATTTAAATAATATAACAAAACAATTTCTGGAGTGGCGTTGGCTAGTATCTGATGTTTGCAATCAACTGTAGGTGAATGGCCTGTAGTTGGAAGACACAAATCTGACAAAAAAGACTGCGGGGCCACAATGACAGGATAACACATTCTTAGCTCTGTTTGGATTAGGATAATTCAGTTTTCCAACCATGCAGTATCAAATCCACCTCATAGCCAGACTCAGGGATAGCCAGGTGGGTAACTTTCCCTTATAAAGGAACATAATGGGGAAACTGAGCCAGGAGGATCCCATCTTAGAGTGAGGCTAAAATTGTCCTCTCAGCTTTTCCCAATGCTGACTTCCCACCAGTATCACATTCTCTGAGTAGCTTGTGGAGTTTCTCTCAGATGGTGGATTGATTATCGATGGATTATGATCCATCAGCAACTCAAAATAAAATCCTATGAGCTTTTACCTCAAACAGAAAGTTGCACTGATCACAGCTTAGGAAAAACTTTTCCAGGATTTACGTCTCAAACTTAAATTTGTCCTGATGTGAAAAAGCAAATCATTAGAGATTTCTATACACATGCAAATTCTCAGTAAACCATGCATAACCCATAAAAGCTTTTTCGCTGGTTTACACATTAAAACAATCACAAGCAAGTTGCTTGACATAACTGATACAAAAAATTCACCAATTTGAAACTCGAAACAAATCCTTTCTCAATCTGGTGACTTCAATTTTGTTAAATTATTTCCAAATTATCTTATACAGAGAATCAGCATCTCATTATTAACAGTTAAAACTACAACTTTAAAAAGTGCATGCTTACCCAAGTTCAGAGGCTAGCTTCTTTACCTTGAGCAGGATGTGCTGAACCTGGGTAATGCCTCCAGAAAAAGGTTGCCCTAGAGCCCAAGACAATTGCCAGAGTGGCCCAAGCTGTAGCTGCTGCATCTCCCACCTCCTTCCTTTCCCAGGTGGGGGAGGGTAAAATCAAAGGTGAGGGGTAAAGTGTGAAACTCTCTTCTCCTATGAGAGGGATTAATAGATACCCTCTTGACTCAAGGGAAGGGAGTGGGAGAAAAGAGTGACCAGGGTTGTAAAGAGGAGTTTTAAAACTCCTTAATGATCAATCACAAAACCTCCAGAAGATATTGTTAGCTATTCTAACTTTTCCCTGTAACCTCCATGAAAGAGATTCAGGTGCGTATAGGGAAGGTTGTAAGTAAACCTCAGGGAATGAAAAGCAACTGCAGTTTTCCTCAATTTCCTGTCACCGAGAGAATTGAGAGAATTGGGCATACACTTTCAGATAGGGTATCCGTTCATCTGCTCTATGCTGCGGAAGGTGTACCCAGGTCCATGGCCTCGAACCGACTCAGCAGACTGAGAGCCTGAGAGCATCAGGCTGAGTGGGAGACAGCTGTGTAACTGTCTGCCTGGAAAGTACCTCTAAGCCTTCATGCTTGGAGAGTGTCCTTAACTGCAGAGCAAGAAAAGGGTGTGGGGAAGCTTACATACCTTCCAGAAAGACCAGAGCTCAACAGAAAATTTGATTTTCAAATAGAAGACTCAAGAGAGACATGAAAAGGTAAATGGGACAGAAGGAAACAACATGCTATTAACAAGGGCAAACTGTTTCCATCCCTACGAGAGAAGATGACGCTTGCAAACCTTGAGAACTATATTGTTATTACATTATGTTAAATGGGTATACATAAAGGGGGTGGGTATAAGTTTACTTTGATGTAATGATAAAAAACAATCTCATCAAGTGGGTTAAATGGATCCAAGTAAGTGGATTGATCTGATCTAACTAAGAAAATGTACTAAGAGAAAAGGAAGGGAGGAGGCAGACAAGGGTAAATTACATTACAGGAAAAGGCACAGAAACCTGTTATAGCAGAGGGAAAGAAGGGAGGAAGATGAGCATTGTTTGAACCTTACTCTCATGAGATTTGACTCAAAAAGTTAATAACATAATCAGTTAGGTACTAATATTGATAGACTTAACTCTTCTCAGCAATACAAGGATCTAAGTCATTTTCAGAGGCCTCAAAATGGAGTTTGAATGCAGATAGAAGCATGCTATTTGCTATTTTTCTTCTGTTGTGTTTTGTTTCCTCTTTCTGGTGGTTCCTCCTATTGATTCAAATTCTTCCTTATGACATCACTATTGTGAAAATATGTTTAATTGGAATGTATATGTATAGCCTATATGAGATTACATGCTTTCTTAGAGAGGGAGGTGGGGAGGGAGGGGGAGAAAAATTTAAAACTCAAAAGCTTATGGAAGTGATTGTTGATAAATCAAAATAAATTTATTAAAAAATAAAATAAAATATAGAAGGAAATGGCAAAAAATGATTTGAACTCCCAAGAGCTTTAGTAGATATAGGTTGTATTTGTTGATTTTTTTTATGTTAAATGCTTATTGTAATAATAAAAATATTTAAATTTTGTGGACTCCTTGAAACTTTCTCAGGGACCCCATGAGTCCCCAGACCACATTTTGGGAACTGCTGTTCTAATCTGGACTATGGTTGAGATTCAGTATTGGAAAGAAACAAGGTATTTAGGAGAACAAGATATGTAAGCCAATTGTCAGGTCACTTAATTTGAAGTATTTATGATTGTTCCTTCTGTTAGGTGGCAACATTCAAAGTAGTAGGAGTTGGGAAGCAGGAGCAACATGGAGCAAGCATCTTCCCACTAAGTATGGCAGAGCTGACACCTTTGACTAGAGTAGCTCTTTGATGCCCCATTCTAGAGATTTATATAGGCTAATTGGGAGGCAAATATTAAAAAGAGCACTCTAAATGTCCCATGTTTTGCCTCAGCAAGACCTAGGTTCTCCCTCACTGGAACACTTCAGGCAGAACCTAAATTGTCAGGAAACTTGAAGAGAAAATTCTTGTTCAAGGATGGATCAAAAAATATGGCTGATGAAGTCATTAACAGCTCTGGAACCAAAGGTTCTGAAGTTGAATGTTTCCTCTTAGCTCTTGAGAAAGAGTTAGAGTTAGAAGAGCCAAATTTAGAGATTCATACTAGAATGAATTATGATACTTCATTTTCTTTAGAATACAGGCTGAATTGCCGGAGTGAGGAGATATTTGCTTTAGGAGCAATCCATCGTTATACTCACTTTGTTCAAGTATACTATAAAGAGGGGCAAAGAATGTCTCTAAAGGTTCATTGGCTGCATTATGAAAATGACTTTGAGATATATAGTGGGCTGGAAAAAGAAGCTGGTCTATTCTTTAATCTTCTAATTGACTCAGGCCCATCTTCTTTGGTTGGTGATTACAGGAAAGTATGCAGAGACATTTCTTTTCAAAAACTTCAATGATATCTAGTTGTATTTTTGAAAGCCCCAGTAACCCCACATGACTTGTCTGTTCCCCTCAATGTGTTTCTCTTGTCTGTCTGCTGAAGACAACAGGTTGCTGCCTAAGGAGGCTCATGTCTTTCACTTCTTGACTCTCCTGAGTGCAACTTTTGTGCTCTATTCTCCATAGAAAAGTTTTGACAACAACAACGGAATACCCTTCAGAAATCAAAACTGTATCCTTATACACTAGAGAACTAATTACATCTTCTGAATTCAACTGCTTGAATAAGTGTGGGTGTTCTCAGAGGAGTAATTGCCCCTGATAAGGACCTATATTCTCATGTCTTCAATGGTCCGTTCTCAATTCTCTTGATATGGAGACTTTATTATGTCTTCATTTGGATTAATTTCAATGAAACAAAAGTGTAGTCAAGAGGCTGACCATTATTCTTTTGTCTGCCTGAAAACATTTCTCTCAATGCCACTAGTTAGGACTAGTGACTTTGCTTGCACAAAATCCATTCAAAAGTGATGGTTGAGGATAATTCATTTTGATGAAGTGCTCTGATCTTTAAACTCCATGAACTGGAGAGGAGTTTCTCTAGTGGGACCCATTCTCTTTTCCCTGAACAAGACTTCAAACTGAAGATGGGTAAGTGAAGGTGCTCTTCCACTCCTATCCCTTTGGAATTTTTTAACCCATCCTGAAAAACCCAGGTAGATTTCCTATATTACCATTCTAATATTATACCTTACTCAGATTTACAAATCAGGTCACATATGAATTCAAAACAAAAGGAGAGATTTGTATGTAGTTGAAATCACAGGTTTTAATATTAAAAAAATTTCAAAAATTATCATCAATGGAATCCTGAAGTTTTGAGAAAACATCAAGGTTCCTTAAATTTCTAAAAATTGTTGATCACAGGATCAAATATTGAAAGACAGAAAAAGCAAACTGCCTCCTGGTTTCTGGATAAAAGGGGAAGCATTCTAACTGCTCTGGTTCACAGGAGACAAATGGTCTATGAGCCTTTAAGAGGTTATATTTTAAAGATCCAAATGCGGAAAACAAATATTGTTTCTTTTAATCTTCATTTCAAAGGAAAAGTGAAATGAAGACTTTATCATTTCTGCAGTGCCACTTTGTTTGATCAGAAATCACCCTAAGTTAATTGCTGTCAAAATTGTCTCACCTATTACAACACAGTATGAGGAGATAAGTTAGAGACTTTTTCCAACATGTGCAGAGGCTTTCCAAGATTTTAGACAGTGGGAAAATTTTCTCCTACAACACTTCTTATTTCTTTTCTGTATTAGGCTTCTAACTGAAGACATTTTTGTGAAGATGCTGTGTCAATTCTCCTACTTGGAGTCTTGTCACCAGGGAAGACTTGGATATCAGAACTCTAGTGACAGACCATACTCAGATCTACAATGTCCATGCCACATAAAAGTAAAAGAATATCCTTGTCTTCAAAATGGGGGTAGTTTAGAGACATCATTTTTCCCCCCATGGCTAGTCAAACAGATGATTATAAGGGATAGTAATTATTTAGCACTCCAAGGTTGGCAAAATAATTTACAGTTAAAAAAAATTCATTTGATCTTTACGACAACCTTTGTGAGATAGGGGCTATTATACATCAAAGTTTTGTAGATTTGTAGAGAGAGACTGAGTGCATTGCAGACTCATATAGATCATAAATATCTGGGAAATGGCTTGAACTCAGTTCTTCTTGACTTCATATCATTTACTTTATCCTTTCTAGCATTGTGCTGTTCTCTGCAAATGCACAAACAAACCACCTGAGAGACAGTAGACCATAGGACTGATTCAGAGAACTTAGCAAATATCCAATTTTCCTGCTGAAGTGAGTAGGACTGAGAAGGTGAGAGAGGTGCTTGCCCAAAGTAACAGAGTAAGTTAATGGTGGTAGCAGGGCTATAACCAAGTTTTCCTAACTCAGAACCCACTAGCCTTTCCACAAGACTAGACTTCCTTAAGGAGTAAAGAATTTGGAATTAGAATGCTGTGGTTCAAACCCTGATTCTGCCATTAGACCTTAGGCAACTCTCTTAGCCTGTCTGTGCCTCAGTTCCTTTATTTTAAAAAAGAAAGGATTACACTAGAATCAGGGGTGGGCAACCTGCAGCCCTGAGGCCACATGTGATTTCAAAGCAAATATCAAGGAAATAGAACATTTGAGGCATGGGGGAACAGCTTGCACAAAGACACACAGGTTAAAGATGGGAGATCTGGGTAGCAAAATCCATAAGATCAGTGTGCCTGGAATGTAGAATACATGAGTGGACAAATGGAGAATCCATCTGGAAAGATAAATTAGAGAGCAATGGCAAAGGGCTTGGAATGCCAAACACACACACACACACACACACACACACACACACACATACTTTGGAAGCAATGCTAATCCAGTGAAGGTGAAGATCCTGGAACATTATAATGACAAAGGAGATCTGTGCTTTAGGAATAATAGGCAATTGCATTGGAGGTGCATTTTCTTAAAGAAGATCAATTTTCAAAATATATGAATGTCAGGGCATTATTTTAGATGATAGAGAAGGAGGAAGTGGAAAAGGAGAGAATGAAAATAAAATATTGGGAATAATTGTTGGACAAATTTCTGGAGACAGGCAGATGTCCTAGTGGATTTAGAATTTCTCCAAGAACCAAAGTCAGGCTCACTGGCCTCTCATCTATAGGCTCTTATTTTCTAGATTTTGAAGAATAAGATACCATTTGCTTTCCTGTAGTCATGGAGAATGAGAGAGAATTTCGTAAGGGCAAATGTTGTCCTGGGAGAAGAATATTTTACAAGCTAACGCCTGCAAGCATGGCTTCCAATTCTTGGTGAAGTTCTAAAATGCGTTATATAAAAGATGTTTCGTGGATATCTAGAAACATCGGTGTTGAATGCAAAGAGACAGCACGGCTTCTGTGAGAACAGGTCATTGGGGTATCTAGGTGGCATAAGAGGTATAGCACTGGACTTTAAGTCAGGAAGATCTGGGTGCCAATCCTGCCTCAGATATTTGCTAGATGTGTGACTCTGGGCAAGTCACTCCTCCTCCTCTGGGCCTCAGAATTACACATCTGTAAAACAAGGGGATCGGACTCAGTGTTCTTTAAGGGTCCTTGTAGCTCTAAATCTATGATCCTACAGCAAATTCTAGGTCCTTTTTTGATAGCGTCATTAAACTGGCTGATGAGGAGACTTCTGTCGATTCTGGACCAGACATTACTAATACTGTTTTTGTTCTTACCACTCACTTCCTACATCACACCTACTAGCTGAGTGTCCATGGACAGGTCGCTCACCTCTGGGCTTCATTTTCTTCCTCTGTAGCATGGAATGTGATATATGCATGTACAAGAAGTGCTACAGGACTGTTTGGAGAAAGAGCTTTAGAAACTGTAATGCACTATGGAAATGTAAGCTGGCTGTGTGAATTTTGCTCTTCTCAGACTCAGAATTTCTGAGTTTGTCACTTGGCAAATTGTCTTTTTTGTTCCTCTGTCCCTGATGCTCTTTCCGTTTTCTTTTAATGAGCTCCTTTTTAATGTTCTGCCCTGGGCCTCATTTGTTACTGGTGCGGCATGTGTCGGCAATGTTAGAAATAGGCCTTGGTGTCAGGAAGATCCTGCTTTGACGCCTGCCTCACTAAGGTGGCAGGCTGAGACAGCTTCAGTGATTTAGCTAAGGTCACCCAACTAGTAAATATCTTAGGCCGAATTTGAACTCCAGGTTCAGCACTCTCTTCATTGTACAACCCACCTACGTAACTAATCTAGCTGGCTTCAACTAAGGTTATAGAATTTTGAAGCCAGACTAAGTCTTAGAAAGGACTTAGCTTAACTCCCTCCTTTTATAGAGGCAGCTAGGTGGTACAATGGACAGAACACTTGGCCTGGAGTCAGGAAACATGACTTCAAATCCAGCCTCAGACACTTACTAATTGTGTGACCCTGAGCAAGTCACTTAAACTCTGTCTGCCTTAGTTTCCCAACTGTAAAATGGGGATAGTCACAGCATCTACCTTCCAGGGTTGTTGTGAGGATCAAATGAGATAACATTTGTAAAGTGCCTGGTATATAGTAGGTGCCATATAAATGTTATTTAACCCTTCACCCTTTCCCTACATAGAGATGGAATTTTGGTATAATGGAAAGAGGGCTGGACTTGAGTATCAGGAAGACCTATGGTCAAGGCCTGCTTCTATCATTCACTAGCTGTGTGACCTTAGGCAAGTCACTTAACCTCTGTCTGCCTTGGTTTCTTCATTTGTAAAATGGAGATAATGTCTATTCTCTCTCTCTTTCTCTCCCTCCCTCTCTCTCCCTCCTTTCCTCCTTCCTTTCCTCCCTCTCCCTCCCCTTCTTTCTCTCTCCTTCCTCTCTGTCTCTCTCTCTCTCTCATCTATTTACCTACTTACCTCTCTATCTATCATACTTGATTTGTGATTTCATTGTTATAATGAATATTGAGGAGGAAATTCTCTTTCTCAATGAAAATCAACCTGTGCTCTGAGACTTCTAGCTTTCCAGAGTTCCTTGGGGGGTACTGAGAGGTTTAATGACTTGGCCAGAGCTGTGAGTCTCATTAAAATGCTATATAAAATTCAACTATTATTATTTTTGCTATTATCATTAGAGAAGAGGAAACCGAAGCCTAGAGAAAGGAAATGACTTGGTCAAGGTCAGTAGCAAAGGTGGGTTCACAACTTGGGTGTTGTGATGCTCTTTATACAGTCTTCTATTCTGTGAGCTACTAATTTCTAGAAGTATTTATATTTTATATTTGAATAGAGAAGTCTTGAAGAAAGCCTCCCATAGCCAAAGGAACTGTGGGCAGAGACCTTGGTTGCTTGAGGAGAGGGTGGTGTGCCATCTTGTACTCTTTTAAGTGATTCACAAGTATGCCATAGTTGGGGAACTCCTTGGTAAAGCCCTCACTGGGAGATCAGCCGCAGGGACTTTGGCCCAGGCACCAAATTTAGAGAGCTCTAACATTCCTTGCAGTCCTCTGGCAGCTAGAAAAAACAGCTTAGTAATTCATTAGCAAGAACAATTGCAATTAAACTAGGAACCCCTTAGATATGGAGCTTCCTCCATCCCCCACCCCAGTTGTATTCCTTCACATGTTCTGTTTGGTTGTAGCCCTGCTTCTCCCTGCTCCAGCCTAAGGTGACCCCACTTAGTAGCAAACTAGAGGTGTTCCATGTCTCTGTCCACTGTGTCATGGGGTGGTGGAGTGTCTCATTCCTTTGTCCCCCCCTTGCAGGGGCATGGGACTATAGAACATTGCATGCACTATCTGGCTCATTCGATGGATAGGTTAATTTCACTGAACTGTTTTTTTCCCTCTTCCCTCCCCTTCCTCCTTAAAAAAAGATTAGTTGCAAGGTAAGGGTCTCTGGATAGGGGAGTAGGAAGTGAAATATTTGGAAACGAAGGTGATAGAAAACCAAAATGTATCCTAAAATTCTCAATGTTTCAAAAATTATAAAATGGGCAACAAGTGTGAGGTATCATTACTACATTAAAAAAAAACCAATATCAAAAACAAAACCAAAAAACTTTCCAGTTAAAGCTTTGCTCTGTAAGCAGACCATTTCCCCCCAATGCTGATTAGACAGCTTGGCTGGGACCCTCCTTTTCATTTTTATTTTTTAAAGGAAGAGACAGTTGTTCTTACCACGTTGTCTGATGTTTTGTTTGACTCGGTTGAGGAAGGTTGTCTCGGCCTTCTGGTCATGTTGCCTTGCCAGCTGGAGGGCAATCAGGATGCTGGGATCTACCTCTGAGAAGGGCTGCCTGGACTGAATCATTGTGGCCATCAGAGGAGCCAGGCTGGTCTGCTGTTCGTTGTCTGCCGCTGCGGTGAGGGAAGGAAAGAGAGAATCAGAGGCATGTGCCCCAGGTCATGGCGGGAAGAGGCCAAGCTCGACACCGTCTAGTCTAGCCCTTCTTCAGATTTTTTTTAAAAATGGAGAAACTGAGGCTCTGAGGCTGATAGTAGTCTTCTAAGGGCACAGAGCAAGTCAGCAGCAGAGCTGGAACTAGAATTCCGGTCTATCATCATCACCAATATCAACGCTAACATCTACGTAGCACTTTCAAATTTGTTAAGCACATTACACGCATTATTTCAAATGATCTTCACAATAATCCTGGAAAGTGGGCACTACTGTTATCTCCATTCTACAGTTGAGGAAACTGAGGCTGAAACCTTTGCCCAGGGTTACACTAGTAAGCTGGAGAAGGAAATGGCAAACCATTCCAGTATCTCTGCCAAGAAAACCCCAAATGGGGCCATGAAGAGCCAGACACGACTGAAATGACTGAATAAAAAAAGTAAGTATCTGAGAAGTTTGTTAGTAAGCTAATTAAATGCCTGAGACAAGATTTGAACTTGGCTCTTCCTGACTCCAAGTTCAGCTCTCTATCAGTGCTTTCCTTTGCTCTTTTCTATATAGTAGATGCAGCATTTTTTTATCCCCATCCCCTGTGATCACAATCCATTGCAATAAAACAAGTGTTTATTAAACATCAGCTAAGTGCAGGGCACTAACTAGGAATTAAAAAAGACAAGAAGGAACAAATGATCTCTGTGTTGAAGCAGCTTCCATTTCCTGGGGAGGTGCAGTACCTTCACAGGTAAGTAAGTAAAAGATAAGATGAGGAAGGATGAAGCAATTAAGGGGATCAGAGTTCCGAGACCTCACTGTGGCTGTCGGCCTTCCAAAAGCATCCTGGGCTCTCCACAGAGGGACCGGAATGGCAATAAGCTTGAAAGAATCTGCAAGAAGAGGGTGGGCTTTGGCCAGCCATGCTTAGCATGGAAGCTTATGAACAAATAGAAGAAAGCTCCCAACGCGATGAAGACATCCCCTGAGCTGAGGAAACCTCAGCACCACGTTCCGGAAGCAGACAATAATCCTTTACCTATGTGGTGGCCTCATCTTCCTTCTCCCAAACGAATGGACTAGCCACAGAGACTCCAAGAGTGGATGGAAGAAATGAAGGAAGAAAGAATGAAATTAGAGTTCTTGAGGGAAAGATGTGGAAGAAGAGAAGGTGGAAGACTTCACCCTGGGAGCGTGCAGCTTTGGGGAGGGAAGCCCGCTGTTCTGGTCAAAAGCACCCAGCGATTCTAGTGCTGACCCCTCTGGAGAGTGACAACAGGGTCCAGACTCGGACTGACGATTCCCCTATTCTGTCCTAAGGGCTGGTGGGGGCAGAGGCAGCTGTGTACAAGAGTGATGGGAGTATAGGCCCAGGGGGGAGCAAATCTCCAGAATGAGCACTGTCTTGATCTGGCTATTGGTAACTTTGGTCTGTCAGTTTCAGTTGAGTGATGAGGTCAGAAGGCAGATAGCAAAAAGGAAGAGAAGGAAGCAGGTATAGACCTTGCCCAGGAGTTTGGCTGTCAAAGGAGGAGAGACATAAAACAGTAGCTTAAAGAGTTGTTAGGGTTGAGGGATCCCTTCTCTCTAGCTCCCATCTGTCCTGGCATTTGGAGGACTTAGTTTCCACTGACTCTTTCTCTTCACATTGATCAAGGGCCAAAGGTGAGGGTGTCTTGTGGGGCTGGGATGGGGACTGTGCCAGTGACCCCACCCCTTGCGCCCACAATGGGAGTACTGTGTGGTTACCCCTCAGCTGGAGATTTTTCACCAACATCCTGTTTGGCAATCTTCCTAGAGTGGAGAGCTTGCCCCGGCTTCCTGGTCACCACTGTCCAATCAGATTCCTTGGCTTCTGCCCTCCAGGTATTCTCTAGTAATTTTTGTCCCTTTCTTCATGACTCTCTAGCCCAGAGACCTTGTCTCTCTGAGGCTAGAAGGTTTGTGAAGCACCTCCCACACACAACCCTGTAAGGAGGGTAGTGAAGGGATATTCCCATTTTACAGAGGAGGATAGTTAGGCTCAGGGTAGTTTGTTACAAGACCTTTTTAAGATCACACAGCTTAATAAGGCTTAGACCCAGGATACGAACCTCAGCGTTTGCCTCCAAGGCCGGCACTCTTTCTACCACACCTGGCAAAGGTTCCCTAGGAAAATTTCCCCTTTAGAAACATAACTCTGAGAAATGAATAACAGCAAAGAGTGATCTGGCCAAGTCAGTTCCTCATCTGTAGAATGAGGGGATTGGACTTCATGACCTCCAAGCTCCTTTCCCAGGATAGAGCACAGGCCCTGGAGTCAAGAGGACCTGAGTTCAAATCCGGCCTCAGACTAGCTGTGTGACTCTGGGCAAGTCACTTTACCCTGTTTGCCTCAGTTCTTCATTTGTCAAATGAGCTGGAGAACGAAATGGCAAACCACTCCAGGATCTCTGCCAAGAAAGCCCCAGTGGGGTCATGGAGAGTCCGAAATTACTGAACAAAGTCCTCATCTATGAGACGGGGATGTTGGACTTCATGACCTCCAGTGTCTAATAGCTTTTAAATTGATGAGCCTATGACTTGCCCAAGGCCATGTAGCTTATAAGTATGGCTTCTTTCTCATAGTAGAGTTATTTCCACTATGTTATTTTGTTCCCTAGAAGGAATGACACCCCCCTCCCCCCAACACACACACACACACACACACACACACACACACACACACACACACGCACACCTGGGAGCAGACTCGATGAAACAGCCTCAAATTCCTGCTCTCAAAAAGCAAGGTCATCATTCTGTGTGTCTGGAATATGATGTTCCCATGAGTTAGCTGCAGGGTCTGATTCCGCCCTTTCCTATTTCCCATAATCACCCTGCCCCTAGGAGGGCTCTGGGAATGTACCACTGTGGGCCAGAATTCACTTACCACAGATCTCACAGAGGTGAGCAGGGAAGAGAAAAAAGAGGAGAAAGCCCACCAGGGACAGCCTCTGGGATGCTCTCATCTCTCCAGCTGTGGTCTTCTCTTCCTCTCCTCCACCTGTGTTAGATGACGGAGTCTGAGTCTGGGTACTTACTGGGCAAGGAGCAGAGCACAGCTGATGCTCCTCCTCTATCTTGCCTCACCCCTTTCTGTCAGACAAACGTTGAGCAACAGCCAGCAGGGTGGCTGGGCCAGTCAGCCCCTGGGGAGGCAGGAGCCCAGGAATGAGTCAGAAAAGGGGCTGTTGGAGGTGCCATGGATCCCAAACTTCCCGAGTCTGGGAGTTGCTGTAGTCTGCTCATGTCTGGCACGTGTTAACTGGCAATCAGTGTATCACTGAACAAGGGCTTAGTGATCACTTACAGATCTTTTCGACATTGTGCTCTAGGGACTGTTACTTTACCTCCACTACAGTTTGTGAGATCCCAGATCGAGAGCTGACAGAATTGGTAGAGGTCCCATACCTTAATGACTTTAAGGCAGCATGGGCTTGTGACTAGAATTCTACACACTTTACAATTTCCTCATCTATAAAACAGACATGGCAAAAACACTTGTCTCACAAGGTTGTTGCAAGAATGAAATGAGATAATATTTGTAAAATGCTATATAAAGCTAGATAAGATCATTCAGTCTAAGCTTCTCATTTTGCAAAAGAGCAAACTGAGGCCCATTTTGTCTTTGTATCCCTACTGCTTCTTACAGTACCTGGGACCTAGTGGGAAAGGAGGAATGCTTGTTGATTGATTAATTCCCTATTTGGCTGCCAATAACGAAAGGGATAAAGCAGGAGGATCCTTCTCATAAAGCTGTACCATCAGTCCCACCTGCCTTCAGCCTCTCTGGTGGTACCTGTCCCCTCCTCTGTAGCTTTTCACCTAGTTTCTCCTGCCTCACCACCATCATGGACCAATTCCAAGATGAAAACCTGAACATGTTATCTCTTCACCATGCTCAGCGTACAAATGAGGCTGGACTGTGACAGTTGGTCTAGGCCACAAGACATTCAGTATTATAGGCCAAATAATAGCATGATTGGACTATTTTGGTCAGTCACTATGAAGAGCAAGTATATTCATTCAGACATTTATTAAATAGCTCTAATTGTATATTGTGTAGTGGATAGAGGGTTGGCCTCCAAATCAGGAAGACCAAGGTTTAAGTCAGGCCTTTGACACTTACTGGCTGTGTGCTTCTGGGCATATCACTTCATTTGTCAGTGCCCCAGGCTGCTCTCCAAGACTAAAAGTTGAATAGGAGCCCATCTGCCTTGTCGGATGGAATTTCCTCGAAATGGAGTTCCCTACTCCAAAGAAATCTTATGTTGGGACCAGAAAATAATGTCCAGAGCACAGTATTGACTGGAGGAGATACAAATACAGAGAAAATAGTCCCTATTCTCATACAAATAGTTCACAGAATCATAGGTTTGGAGGTAGACGGAATCTTAGAGGCCTCATTTTAGAGATGAGAAAACTGAGACCCCAAGAGGTGAGGTGACCTATTTTATTATAATTATAATATGTGATAATGATAATATTATAATAGTAATTATTCTAACATATTGTAATAGTCACCCAGGGATTATGTCATGCAGGATTTGAGTTCAGAGCATCTGATTTCAAAGCCAGTGCTATTAAGCTTTGTATCTCACTATTGGATTTTCTAGTCTAGTAAGAGGTTATAAGGTGTGCATTATAGATAAATAAAATACAAATCTAGAATATGACAAGTGAATAAGAGTATAAAAAAACTATGAGAGAAGATGAAGGTGAAATAACTTCCAGCCTAGAGGTTCATAGAGCAGAGATGTCATTTGGGCTGAATCCAAAAGGATTGTGGGATAGAAATTGAGGAAAATGTTGGGGGTAGGGAAAAGAGCATTCCATACATAAGGATTTATGTAAGGAACAAAGGTGTAGAGATGGGAAAACCTGGGCTGCATTCAGGGAAAAGCAAGTAGTTCAAGTCTGGTGTGACTGATGTGTTGGCCTCAGTATCCAGGAAGTCCACTCAGCAGGATTAAGGAATGGGATTGAAGGGTAAATGTCACTGAGTTCTCAGGAGTCAGGAGGAGTCTGTGGTAGGAGCTGCTCCAACAGCTGCCGCAGCTCTACTGCCATTTCTGTCAGGACAGCTCATTTGCCTTCCTCTCCCTTGCCCAGTCTTTCTAGAGTTTAAAAAGCCTTTCTGGTCTCTGACTGGGCACCTTCATTATCTGCATCCTCTGGCAGAGGTCCTTCTATCCAGTGAGAGGGGGAGTCTAGAGGAGTCTCTATGTCCTTGGGTCTTGGGACCCAGGCCGTTTCCCAGCCTCTTAAGAGCAGGCCCAAGTTGTGAGATTCCTGACAACAACACAACCTTACCACTGTGGGATCCGAATTGTCCAACCTGCAAGAAAAACCACTGAGGCAGAGCTCTAAGCCAATAGCACTTTATTAAAAGGTCCACGGTCCCCTTTAATGAAGTGGACCTCAGATCTTCCTCATGATCCGAGATGCCCCCTGTCCTTAGGGCCTTAGTTTTATAGTGCTTGATACCCAGACATTCAGAAGAGGCAAAGTAAAATATAGGAGTTGATTGGTTGATAGACCTTGCTTTTGACCCTCCAGAAGGACCAGAAATGGTACAACAGCATGGGTGGTCACAGCATGGACAAGGCAAGGGTCATCTCTGCTGACAAAGTGGTCATAAGATGGGCCCCTCCTCATGCTGGGCAAGAGAGATACAAAAATAAGTTGGGAGACTTTCCATGTCATGTGAAGACGTCCCACCCACTCTGGGCATGGTCCTGTACTCATCACCCAACAGGGTGGGGGTTCTCTAGTTAACATTCTTGTGGTTAGGCAAGTGAACTTTATAACAACCAGTGAGCTTTGAACTTATAGCTTGTAGTTTAAAGTTTGGAGTCTACTATAAGAAAGAATCTAACCTTATCTAATTATTCCTTTATTTAATATATGTAAAACATGTATTAATATATGTAATTCCTATAGTCATGTTAGTTGACTAGACTGACTAAATATGTATGTATATATACATATATGTATAACACTAATAATTGCTAATAATCACTACCCCAATGGAATTATAATAAATTGATTAACACTGATTAGAATAAAATAGGGTCCAATAAATAATTTTTCTCACCACCGTCCCATTTACCCAGTGATACCAGCATTAGGCCAATACCCCAAAAAGATCAAAGAAAGAGGAAAAGGTCTTTTAAGTATAAAAACATTTACAACAACTCTTTTGTACTAGAAAGGAACTAGAAACTAAGGGGGGTGTCTATCAATTGGGAAATGGTTGAACAAATTATGATATATTAATGTATCAGAATACTGTTACATCATGAGAAATGATGACAGGGATGATTTCAGAGAAACCTGGGAAGACTCGTATGAACCGATGTAGAGGGAAGTGAGTAGAACAAGAACAATTTATTCTATGTCAATATTGTAAAAAATGAACAATTCTGAAGGATTTAAGAATTCTGATCAATGCAATGATCAACCATGATTCCAAACCTCCTGACAGAAAGTGATCAACTAATATGCAGAACAGGACACACATTTTTAGACATGGCCAGTATGGGAAGTTGACTATGCTGATTTATTTCAAGGGTTTTGTTTTTGTTTTCCAGTGAAAGGGGAGAGATGGGAGGGATAAAAAGAAAGAATTAAAAATTAAAGAATATTAAAAGACATCAGAGTATGAGCTACAACTTGGATATAAATTACATCAAATTGAAGAATACCAGTGGTATGTTAAAGTAGAACAAATGTCTTATTGTAGTGGTTTTTCTGTCACTCCATGCTTATTTTCCAAAGCAGTGACTTCTCTCTGAGGAGCAGATCCAGCAACAAAGCTTCAAATCTCTTCTATCATGCAAGAGGAACCATGAGGTTCATTTCTTTTCTCCTTCATTATAAACTTTTCAGAGATTAGACATCTCTAGTTCAGGATAAACAGTGTGGTACAGTGGAAAGAGCACTGACTTTGGAGCTAGAAGTCCCATGTTCATATCCTGTTATTGTTACTACCTCTGTGGTCTTGGGCAATCATTTAACCTCTCTGGTAGTGTTTCCTTACCTGCCCATGGGAGAAGTAGAGTACAATTCCTCTAAGGTCCCTTCCAGCTTTGTCTCTTATCTTCTGTCATTCCTTTGAGCTATTTTTCTTTATCACTCACATCCCAAGAAGACATCAGGAGCCCAAGTCCACATTTGGTTCTAGGTTTCCGTAGGCTTACCACAACAAGGCTGATTTGAGGTGAAAAGGACCAGGAATCTCGCCGTGACCACAGGTGCGAGCTTACCACATGGGGCCTTGGTTTCCTCATCTGTAAAAGGGAGGTGTTGGGCTAGATGACTGTTGAGGTCTTTTCTAGTGCTAACTCTATGATCTTATTCTCATCTCTCCAGCAAAGATTTGGGTTCTTTTCTGCCCAGCCTGTGTTAGAGTGCAGGGGTCTGGTCTTGGTGTTTGTTTTGTGACAGAAAGAGGATTACCTTTGCCTTCTCTTCCATTCTATTTTCATCCAGGGAAATATTGAGCTATGGATGTGGCCATTAATAGCTATTTGTGGGGAGATGAGTAACTTGGAAGGAATCAGAAAAAATGTGGTCAGAGTTTGGGACTACTAAAGAAGAAAGGGTAGTTTTGGAAGAGAAGAGAAAAAGACATAGAGTTTGAGGTCATAGGACCATAGTTCATAAATTTAAAGCTGGAAGGCAACCTGGAGGCTATTTAATCTACTCCCCTCATTTTACAGATGAGGAAACTGAGGCCCAGAGAGGTTAAGTCACTTGGCCAGGGTCACACAGTTATTGTCAGATGGAATTTGAATCCAGATCCTCTGACTTCCGAGTCAGTATTCTTTCCATTGTGCTATGCTGTTGAGACTGCTGAACAGAAGAAGCACTGAGCACACAGTTATAAACTTGAAGCCAGACTTGGAACAAGTGGATAGGGCTGAGATATAAACTGTAAGAACAACCTCCCAGAGATAATGACCAAAATGCTCTGTGAGAATGATGGGTATCGATTCCAAACTCTTTGTTTAGAAATAGTAAATCTTTATGACTGGCCAAGGCTTGACCGTTTTCAAAGCCTTCTGCTTCTCATTC